TCCTTCCTATATATGGCTGAGCCCTACCTAGTTTAGCCTGAATATGAGAGAGATCAAAGGCAAAAGCCATGTAAGAGGTAGTGCCAAACATTGAACGACGGTAAACCAAACCAACCTCCTTATCCTTGCAGACCTTATTTTAAAGAAAAAGTCACAAATGATCACAGCTGCCCACTCCTATAATTTTATTATTTTTTCCTTAAAAGGCTCTGATCTATGAATATTTTTGGAGAGACATTGTGTAGCCTGTAGGTCGGGCAAATGCTTCATCCCATGCTTTGACTTGTATCATATACCAATCTCGTGTTAGATCGCACGTATAACTTGGAAATTCCACAATTAGACGCATAGTGTATATAATATATATAGATCTTGTTAGATTGTAGCAAAAATGGAATAGGGATAAGATTATCTGTAACGCCCCGTCTCCAAAATATTTATTTTGGAAAATAACATCGGTGATAGGCCTAAACTAAACTCTTGTTTATTTAACTACCCATAATCACTATTCTTTATCCATATTCCTTAACTGAACATTTCTGTAACCATATTTTAGTTACCAAAATATACGATTAAATTCTCAAATTGAATCCCCAATTCCTTCTCTTATGTCAACTTCCCAACAAAAGATAAATCTCGATTATTTAAGGCTGCATCTAACTCTTGTTAGACTACCTACGTACCCTTGAGCGACATCAAGTCTTTCGTAGTTCACCTTCCATTCTTTTATCCATTTCCGAAAATAGTCTTGTAACGGAAATTGGAGTCTTCTAGAGTGAAGATTAAATTTACAAAAATATCCATAACTTCAAATGTTAATAACTCTTTCTTTATAATTCCGTTTCACGAACGGTTTGCGCCTACACGCTCGTGAAGTCGAGCTCTATCCAAACATATCAAGAAATACAATAAAATATATGAGGATAAAATACATTCTCGTATAATTACGTTAAGCCAACTAGGGGCATTTTCATCTTTTTCACTTATCGACACAAATATCCGCCGTAATTATAAATACGTTGTAATTACGAATACGACTACAAAATACTTATTTTAAGATTCAAATCCAGGAACGGATTTTCACATTTTTCCCACTGAAATTTCCTTAACCATTTATTGATTTATTTTCCTATTTCCTTCACATATTCATAAACATAAATAATTAATTTATATATTTAAAAATTTCAGGGTATTACATTATCATAAACGGACGGCATATAAACTTTCTTTAACGAAGGCGACCTTAACTTCAAGTTATACTTGAGAAAAAAATTTATGGTAGTAGAATATCTTCTATAATTTCATTGCATTTCATCAAGCCACAACTTGTAGATATTTTTTTTTTTCACAATGATGCTTACAGAAGGAGCAAAGAACATGTGTACCATATTATTCGTGTTTCTTCAAATGAAATATAAAGTGAAAGACACATGATTTGTTAGGAAGTGATTTTAAATCCTTGGTAAAAATCCAAGTTAATTTAAAAAAACGTTGGTAGTGCTTCTTGGAAGAATATAACATCCATATACAATTACTACACACGATCCCTACAAGAATGATCGTCCGGTTTTTGTTAAATTGAAATGAGATTCCTTATGAGAAGAAGCTCGTGCTCCATTCTTGGTGGGAGAAACATCTCATAGAACAGTCCATAAATGAAATAAAAAACGCTGTTAAAAAAGATGAAGAAGGAATACCAATCTTTGATGAGCATATTGGACAAGGAGTCCCATATGCAGTCAATACATTGTTATTCACAATTATAGAACATTTCATAGAAACACTTAGTAATGTCATCTTCAGGATCCATGATCAACTCAGCAATCTAAGATGTCCTACTCTAAGCGACTTTAGATGGTACAAAGATGTGTTCATGTATAGAGTCATGCTCAGAGAAGACAGTAATCAACCATTTTGGAAAGAAAAATTTATATATATATACGTCTACTATGTTTTCAACACACGAATAATTTTTTTTTTTTTTTTTTTTAAGAATAACATCTAAAGCCAGACTATTCCTTGAAATGCTTGGAATTTCATATGCTAGGTGTCACATCCTGGCTCGGGCCCCATCACATCCTGGGCTCGACTTCACCGTAGGACGATATTATTCGCTTTGGGCTCCGACCACGCCCTCATGGTTTTGTTTTTGGGAACTCACACGAGAACTTCCCAGTTGGTCACCTATCCAGGGATTGCTCTGGCCCCGTACTCGCTTAACTTCGGAGTTCCTATGGAACCCGAAGCCAATGAGCTCCCAAAAGGCCTGGTGCTAGGTAGAGATGAGAATATACATATAAGGCTTACATGATCCACTCCCTTGGGCAATGTGGTATGTTACAATCCACCCCTCTTAGGGGCCCAACATCCTCGTCGGCACATTTCCGGTCAGGGATTAGCTTTGATACCAAATTGTCACATCCCGCCCTGGGCTCCCATTACATCTCGGGCTCGACTCTATCGTAGCACGATATTGTCCGCTTTGAACCCCGACCATGCCCTTACAGTTTTGTTTCTGGGAACTCACACGAGAACTTTCCAGTGGACCACCTATCCTGGGATTGCTCTGGCCCTGTACTGGCTTAACTTCGGAGTTCCTACAGAACCCAAAGCCAATGAGCTCCCAAAAGACCTCGTGCTAGATAGAGATGAGAATATACATATAAGCTTACAGAATCCACTTCCCTAGACAATGTGAGATGTTACAGTAGAACTATTATTGCAATTCACTTTGCAGCCAAAATTGAAGTTTGGTAGTAGACATAATATGGGAAGAATCAAATTAAAGCACTTTCATAATTTCATGTGTAGATGGAATCCGTGTTGGCCCATCTCGACCGTGCATGAATCCTGGGTGGATGAGCAATATTAAGAAACCCTATCACCATTCTTCAAATGTATGGTGCCATCTAATCAATCCATGCATTGTATACCAATTTCAAGCCGCTTTCTTACCGCCATAGGTAGTGGAATTTTAGGCGTGGGAAATCCCAAATTTTAACTTCTTATTTTTAATTATTTATCTATACGTATGATTAGACATTTTTTCTTTCTAATAGTAAGGAACCTACAATTTCCATCCCCAATTTTATAAATTGTTAAACTTTTATATTTCTTTGATTTTTTTTCGCTAACAATTTTGGAATTAGTTTTTGTATAATGTACGAACATTTTGATGTAAAATAATTTGAATTCCGAGAAAAATATTTGGTAGTGAAATATGAGAAAATTGGATTTTTATGGATTAGTGAACAAATGGATGAGTATTTATAGAGTTTTGGAGGAGTTTTGATCTAATTTGAATTAATTAATAATATTACTTTGACTGTTGGATTTAAATTTGAGCCATTGAATCTTTTTATTACCGTTAATATTGATTAAATTGGATGTAAGTCGTTGAATTGGATATAGTTGGGCTAGCCGCATTGGATCAAAACTCAAGAGGTACACCAACCTTTGGGTGCTAGCAACGCTTTAATCTGGGTTGTAGAAAACATACTTTCCGTGCGCTTGCTCGCAGATAATTCGTCTGCCCTATTGCATCTGTTGCACGAGCCGTTGAGCTAGTCTTCACGTGCTGCAGCAGATAAGCTGGGGGCCTCAACCTACTTGTTTCCTTATCCATCCGAGGGGCCTCAGTATTTAGGTCATCTCCAACTGAAGGGTCCAGATGACTAGAGGGCCGAAAATAGCCCGAAAATCGTCTCCAACCGAGGGCTAGGCCAGAGGGCTCTGAAATCTGAGAAGGCCCCATAGAATCGAAGAGGGCTAGATGGCTGGCCAGAAATACTGGGAATCTTGTCGGTTATAACCGACAGGAATGCTTAAGAAAAAATTCAAATGCAACGGCTAGCTGACGTCAACTAGCCGTTGCATTTGAATATTTTTTTTTTTATAGTTTTATTTTTTTTTATTTACAAAATTTTTCCTATAACTTCTATTTTAATATTTTTTTTTTTTAAATTTCATTTTTTCCTATAACTTCTATTTCACATAGTTGCTTTATTTTATTTTAAATTCTATTTTTATCCTATAACTTCTATTTCACAAAATTTGTTTCATATTTTTTTTAAATTATATTTTTTTCCTATAACTTCCTAAGCCATTATACAACATTAAATTAAATTAAGTAACATGAAACAACATTAAACAATATGAAATAACATTAAATAACATTAACCAACATACAAATTATACAACATAAAAAAAAAACATTTAACAACATGAAACTTAAACAACATTTTAAAAAACATTTAATAACATAAAACTTAAACGCCTACTCCATGCTTCTTTTGACCCAAAGATGTGCAACAAGATCATGTTGTAGGTACTTGTTTGTGGCACAAGAATGTATCATTCTATAGCCTCATGTACTCATTTATAGAGATACTACCAGTTCTTGGATTGAAAGGCAAATTAGGCCCATCATATATTTTTCCACGAGCCCTTCTTGACCTATTTGGATCTTCTTGGTCGTCATCGAACTCTCCATCAATATACTCATCTTGCTCATCCTCCACTATTATATTGTGTAATATGATGCAAGACATCATGATGGAGTCCAAATTTTCTCTACTCCACCCTCTTGCCGGTTCGTTAATAATCTTCCACCGTGATTGTAGAATACTGAAAGCTTTCTCAACATCTTTCTAGTATGCCTCTTGGTGTAAGGTAAACAACTTTTATGCATCATTCCTAGGGTTTGGAATTGCTTGCACAAGTGTCGCCCACTTTGAGTATATGTCATCTGCCAAGTAATACCCCATATTGTATTGACAATTGTTGATGTAGTAGTGAAGTTGAGGTGCTTTACCTTTCGTCAAGTTATTGAAGAGGGGTGAACGCCCAAGAACTGTAATGTCAGTTTGGGATCCAGGGACTCCAAAGAAAGCATTCCAAATCCATGTGTCATATGAGGCAACCGCCTCTAACACAACAGTTGGCTTTCTCGACCTTCCGCTAAAGCCTACTTGCCATCCGGTATGACAGTTCTTCCAATCCTAATGCATGCAGTCTAATGACCCTATCATGCTTGGAAACCCATGGTTTTCAGCTTTGCGAAGGAGCCGATTCAGATCTTCTTGATTTGGCTCTCGGAGGTACTCTTCTTTGTGAACCTGAACAATTGTGTCACAGAATTGTTGAAGAGTATCAAGGCATGTAGACTCAGACATACCATGGGTTTCATCCATAGAATCAGTTGGGGAGTCACCATCATTCGAAGTGCAACAGTAACCTTCTGATGAAGTGAGAAACCAAGGCGGCTTGCTCTGTCCAGCTTTTGTCGAAAGTATGGTTTGACTTGTTGGACATCACGAAGTAAACGCTCGAAGACATGACGTCTCATCCGGAAGCGACGTCTGAAATCCTCTTCTGTGTACACCGAGTTAGGGTTGAAGTAGTTGTTAATCAGATAGGCATGCGACATCGCTCTATTTCGTGATTTGTAAGAGGGACCAGCAATAGAGCCACCTCATTGAGGTTGTTCCTCAGTTGGCTGACACACCATGGTTGCTGCCATGTTTTATTTGTTGCGCCTTACTTGAACTTCTTCATCACACTCCTCATCTTCTAGTCTCATTTGCGCCCATTTTGCTTCCAATTTGGAATTGGATGAAGACCCTCAGTTGGAATCCGAAGAGGATCCAAAGTTGGAATTCATTGCAAACTTGAATTGAAAAAGATTGAATTGAAAGATATTGAATTGAAAATAGATTGAATTCAAAGTTGTGTGAATTATAGCCCAATATCCACCCTATTTATAGCAAAAGAAAAATTCAAATCCAACGGCTAGCTGACGTCACTTAGCTGTTGGATTTGAATTTAAGTTGTAGTTTTTAAATAATAAATTATGTTTGACCCTCGGTTGGAGACGATTTTTTGTGGCAGGGTTAAAACGAGCCCTCTGACCCTCGGTTGGAGACGGAGGCAAATATGGCCCTGTACTGTTCATTAAAATATTAATATCTTGAAGAATCTTGGAGGGCCAAAAGGCTAAAACGAGCCCTCTGACCAGCCATCGGTTGGAGATGGCCTCACGTGAGAAATCTTACAGTGTAATAAGTTACACATATATTTTTCTTTTTCTATTTCTCACATCACACGAAAAATTTTACCATGCAACTAGTCGTACATTTTTATCTTTTTATCTCCACATGAGGGATTCTTGCGTTTAACTAATCATACGTCTTTATATTTTTATCTTCCACATCAAGTGAGGGATTTAACTAGTTTTACATTGTCTTTTTTCTATCTCTTGTATAACCTGAGAGATTTTATTGTGTAAATAGTTATACATTTATTTTTTTCTTTCTATTTCACAAATCATGCAAGAAATTTCACCATGCAAACGGTTGCATACGTGAGGAATTCTACCGTTTAACTAGTCATACATCTTTATATTTTTATCCATCACTCAAGCAAGGGATTTACCATGCAACTGGTTATGACTACAAGTCAGGATAGTTGAGAAAGGCTATGTAACCGTTCTTATAAATAAGTTCAAATTTTTATCCCGTCAATAACAGTATATTAGAAACATGCTATTATTAATACTCTAAAAAATTTATTGTACACTCTAAATTTCTATATTTAAAAAAGAAAAAAAACACTTATAAGCGTCGATAACAATACCATTACTTTTAAAAACAACTTATTTTCTTATTACCGCTGCTCCATAGTTCTTCCCCATTAGCACTCTCTACTTTATAAGGGCATTTCTGCAATAATCATCACCATTGTGTCCATTGTTCTTTCATTTCAAGACTCAAAAGCTAAAAAATAAGCAGGAAAACCCAGTTAATCAAAAAAGAAAAATGAAAAAGGAAAATTTGCAAAACCTTCTCGTCTAAAAATCTGACACTTTCTCTCTCATACTGTCCCTAAAGTCTTTCATAAATTACTTGTTCCCTTGGTATAAAAAAGACAGCCAAAAATAATGGCGGTTGTGCTTTTGATTGATTGAAGCTGAGAGAGAGAGAGAGGTAAAGCAATACTGGCAAAGCGAGCAAGCACTAGTGGTGTACTAGAACAATCACTACCACCACCACCGCTTACCACACCCAGCAGCAAACCTTGTGTTTCCATTAGTGGAAAGTTTGGAAGCAAACCCAACTCTTGGATTCTCCATCTGTGCATATATTCTTCCTCAACAGTCTCTGTTTCTGTCATCTGCTAGCCTATTTTGTGCAGAGTTGATCATCGCGTACCTTTCAGTTTCCTCTCAGAATAATGCACAGGCCATTTGATTGCATCTTGCTTTTACTTGGGCTCCTTGCTGTTTGAGATCTGGTCCTTTCCTGCTTTCATGCTGGCACAAGCAACTTTGTGTTCTGAGGCTGAGATCTGGGGATTCTGTTAGCACAGTTAGGGTTTTAGGCTTCTGGGTTTTGCCGGGTTATTGCTGTAATTGCTCGGTTTCTGAGATTGGACTATCTGGGAGTGTACAATCTGTGACTTTGAAGCTCTGTTAGTCACAAATGGTGATGTGGGTTTGTTGAAGATTGTGGCATGAAGTTTTTGGTTGCAGATTGGACATTTTGGGTGGTTTGATTGAGGCTGACTAAGTGCGAATGAGGCTGAAATTGATCGTTCTTATCAGCGAAACCAGTTTCATTTGAAGTTTCAGGACTTGGGGAATTGAGGGTTCTTTTGTTTAACTTTGCATGAATGTGAAGCTTCATGCTTTTGTGATTTCCTGGTAAAGTTTTGCATGAAAGTTTGTTTCTTTGGGGGGTTTGAATGTGTGATGGTGAAATATGATATTTTGCAGTAAAAAAAAAGAGGGGAAGAAAAGGATTGTCCTGTAATTTGGGTGAATTTTGGTGTTAAATTGTTGTGATTGTGACTGGGGTTGAATAACTTTTTGTGGAGTCAATTTTTAGGCTTCCAGTGTTTTTGAATCTCTGCGAATAATGAGGCTCTCTTCTGCTGGTTTTAGTCCTCAATCCCAGGAAGGTATGGTCAATTAATGTTGCTTGCAGAATTGTTCTGTGTGTATTTTTAATTTTTGCCAGGATTTTAAACTGAGATGTAGATATAGTTGTAATATGTTGTATGGATTTAGGATGTTGATAGTTCTGTTTGGTTGCCAAGAAATTTTGGGGAAAAATTAGATTTTAGAATTTTCATAACCCAAGTTAGCAGTTGTATTAAGCTCTCTCTCTCTCTCTCTCTCTCTCTCTCTGTTTTCTACTTTTCCTTTGCTCCTGGAGACCCAAATCCCAGAAAGCTTCTTATTTATTGTTTGGTTTCTTCTCTTTCCACCATTTTCTCAGCATGGCAGGGGCTTGATTTGGCTTTCTTTCTAAATTTGGAAGATAAAAAATTAGTGTGAAATTTGAAAGTTAACCATAATTTCCAGAAGTCCATATACGGATGGAAAATTTATTTCCCTCCATAATAAGGCCCTCGGATGACATTTTAGTATTTATTTGTATTCTTTAATTGGTGGATTTGTAATCAAATTCTGAAACCAAGTGTTGGCTTTAATTGGTCTTTGTTTTCTTGAATTCCATTTTGTAGGGGAGAAGAAAGTTTTGAATTCTGAACTTTGGCATGCTTGTGCCGGTCCCCTTGTTTCTTTGCCCGCTGTTGGGAGCCGTGTAGTTTATTTTCCTCAAGGTCACAGCGAACAGGTTTGTATAAATAATTTGTCAGTTCTTCCTTGCAAATTTAGTGGCGTGTCGTTTTATTTGTCAATTTATGTTTGCGAAAGGATGAATTTGTTTTTGCCAACTTTTTATGCAACAGATGTGATATTCTGTGTGATCAATCCTCTGTAAATGTTCTACTTTTTATTCATTTTCCTTCTATGCAAACTGTAATGCTTCATAATGTAGGTTGCGGCATCAACCAACAAGGAAGTGGACGCTACATATTCCCAACCATCCAAGCTTGCCACCGCAGCTTATCTGTCAACTCCACAATGTGACAATGCATGTAAGGCTTGTTTGGTTTGGTTAGTTCTGGTTCTTAATATTCCTATATGCTGGTTTCTAAAAGATCGATGTTGGTAACTGCAGGCAGATGTTGAGACCGATGAAGTGTATGCACAAATGACTTTGCAACCGCTAAATCTGGTATGCCACTTTGCCTTGATTGGCTTTGAAATTTTTGTTCTTTATCCTTTGCTCTCATGCTGTATATAACCTTCATCTGCAGCAAGAGCAAAAGGATGGCTACCTTCCAGCAGGATTGGGCAGCCCAAACAAACAGCCAACAAATTATTTTTGTAAAACCTTGACAGCCAGTGACACAAGTACCCATGGTGGTTTCTCTGTTCCTCGCCGGGCAGCTGAAAAAGTGTTTCCTCCATTGGTAAATTCTCTAATTAACTATATGCAGTATGACCTTCACTTTTGAGCTAGTTACTAGGGTTTGTACAATAGTTCTGGCACTTGGTCTCAGGGAAAAATGACGGTTAATGGTTCTGTCTGAATATTAAAGTATTTTCCATGTTTTTAATCTCTATTTTGTTTCTGAATATATATTTTTTGACATGCAGGATTTCTCCCAACAACCACCAGCGCAAGAGTTAATTGCAAGGGATTTGCATGATAATGAATGGAAGTTTAGACACATTTTTCGGGGTGAGTTTGCTAAGAGAATTTTCATGAAAAGTGGAGAAAATATTAAACCTCTCTTCGTATCTTGAATGAGTGAAGTAGACTGAGAATTAAGTTTGACTTTAGATGAGTACTTTCCCGCCATTGCAACTTCTTTTAGTTTCCCGACTTGAATAGTGAGAATATCATGTTACAAGGCCTTTCATTCCATGAAGTGATTATTGACATGTTTGTTGATTTTTTTTCTATTTTAGGCCAGCCCAAAAGGCACCTTCTTACAACGGGTTGGAGTGTGTTTGTAAGTGCTAAAAGACTTGTTGCTGGAGACTCAGTCCTTTTCATCTGGTAGGCTGTTCACCCGTTCTCTGCTGTGTTCTTTTGTTTTGGTCATATAAACAATGTGATCTTTTGCAATGTTCATACTATTTTTTTGCCTGCTTGCAGGAATGAAAAGAATCAACTACTCCTTGGCATCCGGAGAGCTAACCGACAACAAACTGTGATGCCTTCATCAGTTTTATCAAGCGATAGCATGCACTTGGGACTTCTTGCTGCTGCAGCTCACGCAGCTGCAACAAGTAGTCCTTTCACCATATTTTATAATCCAAGGTATGAGTCTATGTAGGCTGATGATACCAGGTCTTTTAGGTTTATCACTTCCCCTGAAACTTACTCACCTTTCATGCAGGGCTAGCCCATCTGAGTTTGTCATTCCCCTGGCCAAGTACATTAAAGCGGTCTATCATACCTGCATTTCTGTTGGCATGCGTTTTCGGATGTTGTTTGAAACAGAAGAATCAAGTGTCCGCCGGTAGGTCCTAAACTTTTATTTCGTTAAGGATGTTATAGACGATTACTAGATAATTCCGAATGCTTCTTCTCTCCTTTCAATAAGTCTTGGATGCCTGTAATCTCGTTACGAAAAAAATAATAAATTTATGGGTTGGGTGTTGGTACATTGAACACTGCTAGCCTCCTTCATATTATTTTTATTCTAGAAGTTGCAAGTTTTATTGGTTGGTATCTGACAATTATACATTATCAGCTACATGGGAACAATAACTGGCATAAGTGACCTAGATCCAGCTCGGTGGCCTAATTCACATTGGCGTTCAGTCAAGGTTTGTTGTATAATTATTAATAATTATACATATACATCTATATATATAAGTAGATCTGTATTGCATATCGTAAACTGAATATTTTTTTTTTGGATAGATCCGGGTTAAGTTCCTTCAGAATATTTTTTTTTTTTACATCTTTTGCAACTTTGCTGGAACATTCATGGATAATCTTAACTTAATTCAGGTGGGTTGGGATGAATCCACGGCAGGGGAGAGACAGCCAAGAGTCTCACTGTGGGAGGTTGAACCATTAACAACATTTCCCTTGTATCCATCTCCTTTCCAGCTTAGGCTTAAGCGACCATGGACACCTGGACTACCCTCTTTCAATGGTATGCTCATTTACCGCTAGATCTAGGCTATTTAACTCCCAATTTTATATCTTCTAGAATTGAGGCAGTAAGAAAATCTTTATTCTCTCAGGTATGAGGGACGACGACCTTGGCATGAATTCTCAACTTGTGTGGCTTCAAGGAAACAATGGAGACCGTGGAATGCAATCGCTGAACTTTCCTGGCATGGGGGTCACACCATGGATGCAGCCAAGACATGATGCTTCTATGATTGGCTTACAATCAGACATGTACCAAGCTATGGCTGCAGCCGCTCTTCAAGAGATGAGGGCTGTAGATCCTTCCAGACCGCTACCTACATCCCTTCTGCAGTTCCAGCAGCCGCAAAGCCTCCCTAATAGTAATAGGTCTGCTGCCTTGATGCAGCCCCAGATGGTGCAAGAATCTCATTCTCAACAAGCCTTTCTCCAAGGTGTTCAAGAGAACCATCGCCAGTCACAGCCTCAGGCGCAAACTCAGTCTCACCTTCTTCAGCAGCAATTGCAGCATCAGAATTCTTTCAGTAATCAGCAGCAGCAGCAATTAGTTGATCATCAGCAGATTCCAAGTGCTGTCTCTTCCATGACTCAGTTTGCTTCCGCCTCTCAATCCCAGTCGCCATCTTTGCAAGTTGTCACAACGCTATGCCATCAACAGAGTTTTTCTGATTCTAATGGGAACCCTGCTACCAGCACTGTTATATCTCCCTTGCACAATCTCATGGGTTCATTTCCACAGGATGAATCATCCCACCTGCTTAACCTGCCTAGAACCAATCAATTAATATCTTCTGATGGCTGGCCATCAAAGCGAGCAGCGATTGACTCTCTTCTTTCCTCTGGAGTTTCTCAATGTGTTCTGCCCCGGGTGGAACAGTTTGGACCTCCCCACACTACTATGTCTCAGAATTCTATTTCGTTGCCACCTTTCCAGGGAGAGAGTGCTCATTAGACCAAGAAGGTGGTACCGATCCTCAAGGCCATCTTTTATTCGGTGTCAATATAGAGTCCTCACCTCTTATAATGCAAGGCGGGATGTCAAATCTTAGAGGAGTTGGTGGCGATTGTGGTTCTACAACCATGCATTTTCCTTCTAATTACATGAGCACTGCAGGCTCTGATTTTTCACTTACTCCAGCAGTTACACCTTCTAGTTGTATTCATGAATCAGGTTTCCTGCAGTCTTCAGAAAATGCAGACAATGGAGACCTGCTAAACAGAAATTTTGTTAAGGTAAGTTGCAATGGCCTGTTTAAGGTTATATTATTTTGTAAAGTTAAATTTTCAACTAGACCTCAAGTGATATGATAGTGGCCTTAAAATGTTGTCGTCTTCTAAACAAAACCATAATTATTTGCAGGTTTATAAGTCAGGGTCCTTTGGGAGGTCACTTGACATTACCAAGTTCAGCAGCTACCAAGAGCTACGTAACGAGCTTGCTCGTATGTTTGGCCTTGAAGGCGAGTTGGACGACCCTGTGAGATCAGGCTGGCAGCTTGTATTTGTTGACCGGGAGAATGATGTTCTTCTCCTCGGGGATGACCCCTGGCCGTGAGTTCCCACTTCTATAATTTAATTTTTTTCCTAGCTATGAATTGTAGGATAAAAAAATGCATGAGTCCACTTGAGTCTGAACTTTCGGAGACTTAAAACAAGAGTTCCTCTAGCTGTAAGTTGTGCAGAGTTAAGACTGGGCGTTGTTGAGAATACTTGTTTAGTATTTTTGTCATTGCTTAAATGTTCCAAGTAGGAACGAGTTAATTTCCATGTGGACTAGGTTTCCAATTTTGTAGCGAATGACTTGCATATATTTAGGCTCGATTGAAATATTGACCGCTTGACAGTAAACTTTCCGGTGCACCCCAAAATTACTTTTGTCTGAATTCTGTTATTGATTGTCTGACTCTAGATTCGTTGTGTTTATGCTGATACCAGGGAGTTTGTAAATAGCGTGTGGTGTATCAAAATACTCTCACCACAAGAAGTTCAGCAAATGGGAAAACGAGGCCTTGAACTTCTAAAGTCAGTCCCAAATCAGAGGCTCTCAGACAATAGTTGCGACGACTATGGAAGCCGGCAGGACTCAAGAAACTTGAGCAGCGGGATAACGTCCGTGGGGTCACTCGAGTATTGAACAACTTAACCGGTTAAGATACATTCTCTTATGTAATATTTGCAGCTCCTCCCAACTTCTCCAACCCTTTTTGAAGAGTTGGGAGGGCGCCTTAATACTGTAGCTTTAAAGCTTAGTTTATATATAAGCTAATACTGTAATTAAACGATGCGTATCTCTTTTCGTTATTTCCTTGTATTCAAATACGTACAACGCATATGTAGTAGGAGACTTGAATGTTTGTGAAAATAGCCTTAAAATGGTATATTGCAGCATGTTCAGTGACTGTATGGCATTCTCTAAATTGTATATGAACCGTCATATATGCATGGCTTTTTCTAAGCAATATTGGAGGAGGGGGAAATGAACTCGGAATTTTGGCTGTAAGAGTGAATGCTCTACACACTACATGCATATCAAAATACCTGATTTTCTCATGTTTCATGTACACATGATTCATGGTTCATTTGAATGTTCATATATACACATGATTCATGGTTCATATGTGCATTCAAAAGCAGAATATCATGATTACTTTTCTTGATCTCAAAAGTCTAAACCAATGACACTTATGTTTTTATCAAAACCTTCATTCACAATTATTTGAGGTCCCATGCTGTGTCGGCATGCATGTTCTCAAAATTAAACGCTATTTTTTTTATTTTTTATTCGAGTAATGTTACACTTGTCACTTATTTATACCATCTATCTAGTAGAGGTAACGTCCACCAGCATATGTAGGTTTTTTCTCTATTAGAGATGTGGTACAAATAGACATTAAGAATATCATTTTATTAAATAAATTGTCGAGCATGTATATTTATAGCAGTCAAATAAAGGGTCGAATAAATGAGTTCAAATCTTTTGCATCGAAAATCCTCAGTGGCCTCTTTGTGTCCTATCTACTTCAGTGACACGTGTTCTTTGGACTTAATTTATCTTTAGTTTTTAATATTTTTGTTGAACAAATAAGTTGAAGAGCTAACACTGTTAAGTGTCATTCAAATGAAGAAACAAATGTCAACAAATGAGATAAGTCACAAAGAGTGCATTTTGATTCAAAAGATGGTCAAAAAATATAACTTGGTTATAGCATTTACTTATCAGATAGTGTATATATTAAGTAAATGTATGTACCGTAACTAACGTTTAACTTAAAGTTTGATGGTCAAAAAAGTTTACCACTAAAGTGATTAGTGGACCTGATGGTGAATGAGTAAAGGTGAAATTGATAGCGATAGTCTGGGTTTTCTGATGCATGTTGTGGGGCTATCTACACAGAGGGGACTTTTAAGAGGGATGGAATGGTGACAGAGGTAGGGCACCCTCTTCAGCAATGATAGGACCCAGCCCTTGGAAAAGGTAGGTTGGCCATACAATTATACGAAGGGAGCAGTGACTCAGTAACCTTTTCCTTGAACTAGTATTGTAATTTGCATGGTCAGTTTTCTGCAAGACCCCATCTGCTTTGTCATCCACAGCAGCATCACTGAACCAAAGTCTCCATCTTTGTGTAAACAGACAAGATGAGCATCAACGCTTTAAGTCACCTTTATTGTGTGAGGGGTGGTTCGGTATGGGATACCATACCGAAACTAGTATCCCGAATTCCAAACCAAAATTTTTCGGGACGAGAATTTGAAGACCAATCCCAAACCAAATTTTCGGGAATCCCAAATTTCGGGAATTCCGAAATATTTTCGGGATTTTGGGACAAATCGGGAATCCCAAATTGAAATATGAAATTATGAATTGTTCTTCAAATATATAATTCAAGAACACATTCATGAACTAGGAATTTCATTTCATTCACACTACCATTTAATTGAACACTGGCATGCCTGACTGTTTTTATCATAGTTAAAATTCAAATTAATTAAACCCTTTTTGCAATCTGTTGAGAGACAAAAGAATCAAGCCTTCTGAAATCATCAGCCATGGCAACATCAATAATAAAATCCACATGAATATCAAACAGAACATGAAAAATATGCAAGGTGTAGGGCATTCCAGGTTGCAAAGCATGAATTAGAAACTACTAGCATCAATTATAAAAGAATAATATATATAATAATTAATATTATATATTTTCGGTTCGGTATGGGATTCCCAAAATATCGAGAAGCCAATCCCGAATCCCATACCGAAATTTTGGGAAATTTCGGTTTGGGAAATTTTTGGTTTGGGATCGGGATTTTTTCGGTTCGGTTCGGGATTTTTGGGAATTTTTTCCACCCTTGTGTCTACCTGAATGAAGCTCGGTCCAAAGCCTTTGGAGAAAATAAATTATATATGATCTCAACATTTTAAGCAAACTAACAACAAAAAGTTCTCAAAAACTTTAGTTTTAATAAAAAAATAAAATAAAGGTGTAAGTAAATAATACCAGGAATGACTTTTCAAGATAAAAATGTCTTTAACGTTAAAAATGAACAGTACCGAAAGTGTTTCATTAAGATTTCCAACATTTTATTGTTAAGAGTTTTTTTATTTTTATTTTTTTATTTATTTTAATTTCTTCCAAATGTTGTGTCCTAGACTCCTAGTTGATGCTTTAATCTTGATTTCGAAGGGGGAAAAACATAATGGAACTTATTCTTGATTCTTTAGGCATCTGATTACAAATTTTAAAGTGAAACTTCCATTTTTCTTTCAATTTTATATGCGTTAATAAACGCACGAAGACGTTAAGAATCAAATAATTTTGGTACCTAATTTTATCAACTGCAAGAAAGTAAAGAATCAGGATGATTATATAATTTCAATACCTAATTTTAGTAAACATATAACGAGTGGCACGAATAAAAATTTCTTTGCTTGCAAGGATTGTTAATGTAAACATAAGCAACCCAGAAGGTATGATTATGGAGGGAATTATTATTTAGTTTATCAGAAAACAAATTCCAAAAAGTGGATGCTCAAAATTGTATGTTAAGCCATGATTGAAGCATGCCTACAGGAGTTTAGGTTGGAACTTTCTTAGGTGCTATGGAGTCCGTACTCATAATGTTTTAGCTGTTAAATTTAACAATAAAACACCCAAATTACCGAATACTCCGAAGCATCAATAAAGCTTTGGTCTAGATTATGTGGCCTGGCCTGGGCATTGTTGGCCTAAGTCATAATGTTTTAACCGTTAAATTTAACAATAAAACACCCAAATTACCGAATACTCCGAAGCATCAATAAAGCTTTGGTCTAGATTATGTGGCCTGGCCTGGGCATTGTTGGCCTAAGTCATAATGTTTTAACCGTTAAATTTAACAGTAAAACACCCAAATTACCAAATACTCCAAAGCATCAATAAAGTTTTGGTCTAGATTATGTGGCTTGGCCTAGGGATCATAATGTTTTAACCGTTAAATTTAACAATAAAACATCTAAATTATTGAATACTCTGGAGCATCAATAAAGTTTTGGTCTAGATTACGTGGCCTGGCCTATGGCATTGTTGGTGCCAAATATAAAAGAGCCCTCCAACTCTCGGGGTGTGCACAGGCATGTGGGTTTGATTAAACAATACACAAAGGGGAAAGCTTTTTGTCATTGAGGTAGGAAGACTGACTTGGGAATTGAAAGGTGTCCTATTGAATTTCAAGTGGGACTGGGCACACCTATATCCAGGTATCTTAGGGCTAGGATCCCAGGATTTTCTAGACTGCTTTTCTTTTTGGGTTGAAATAGGTTCAAGAATTTGATGGTAGTGGGCCATAATTTAAGGTAAAGTGACCTTCACCTTGAGGTAGTCTCTTATGCAGATCCTAATTGTGCGCATGTAAGTGCGGCTGTGAGAGGCCAGTCGAGGACTCAATATTGTTGGTCGACCGACGACTCAGTACTATTGGTTGACCGGCCACTCACATTCCCTACATGATGCACACCGTTGAGAGTTTGAAAGAGAGAATTTCCGCTTTCGGTGGTACCAGTCTAGCGACAAAGACGATCATCTCTAGAAAAGAATTATGATAATTTAGCTTAACCCCATAAAATTTTAAGAAAAACTAATGAAAAAAAAGTTTGAAAACTTTGACTTTTAATGATAAGAACAAAATAAAACATATAATGAATAGTATAAGTGACTTTTTAATGTAAATATATGATTTTTCATTCAAGTGAACAGTACCGTGAGCATTTCGTTAAAACTTCCAAAATTTTACTCTCGAATGGCTTTTAGATTTTTCTCTCAACGGTTCCTATTTATTCTCTTCTTTTCCTCCAATCTCAGATAGTTGGGGGGAGAGAGGATGCAAACAATGTTGGAACATAGATACCTCAACATTCATATGCATCTACTGAAAAATCTACTTCATCTAACAACACACTGTGGTTGCTCTGTGGATATAAAGTTTGTATATCATACACAAACTCCTTCAATCATAATGTGTACTGAAAACATACGCTCATCGTACGAAGCTTTTCTTCTATATTTTGTTTCAGGTTTTATCACAACCAACCGCAACAAATGTAATGAGATGATGGCACTCGTCCAGTCTGGCGGATGTATTCTGCTTGAGCTGCAGTTTTCTCTGCACTTTGATTCTTTCTAGCTTCAGCTGCTGCCCGTTTCTCTTCGGATATTTGCCTTGCTAGTGCTATCTTCTTCATTATCTTGGATTGAGCTTGCGCTCTCATTTGTTCAACTTGAGCCTGAAAAGTAGTCCTGAATTAGTCAAGACAAACAAAAGTTTCCAACCACAAAATCCTCCGTATCATATCCATATTGTTACGAAGTACCAACGCATTTTCTTGAGAGTCAAGAAAAGCATAAATCACAATACTTCCCAATCGCCTGGTATAAAGTTAATAACTGGAGCTCGCTGAACCAGTTCAATACAATTCAACAGAAATATCGGCCAAGGTTTCAGACTCGAAAATAGAACAGTTCTGCTGGCTAGAGATGCGAAATGAAAAGAACTTTAAATACCTCTATTCTCCGCATCTCTGCTTCGAGTTTTGCCTTCTGCTGACTTTCCCATGCTTGGATTTGGATTTCATCGCGCTTGTATCTGAGAAATGTTAGCATTCTCAAGTAATGTTAGGATGGCAGAACATACGTACATGGTTTCTAGTACAAAAGCATTGCAGTACTCTATTACAAAGCAACGAAAAAAGGTGATCCAAACGAAGTTCTAAAAGAAACCTTGCTGTATGTCTACATTTTTCAGCTTCCTCCCAGGCCGCTGCTCGTTTTTCAAACTCAATCCGCTCAAGTTCGGTCGCATCAGCTTTTTCAGCGGAAAGTTTCTTCTCCTGCTCCTCTTTACTTGCCCAAGCGGCAATGTTCATCTTACCAAGCTGAACACCAAGTTCTACGATCTCCCTTCTTGTCTTGAGCTTTAATTCTTCTTCTGACAATTGTCTTTTGTTGTTTTCAAATCGTGGCTGTGATTCGCCATCCGTGGTAGGTGTGGGAGCCGGTGCACCTCCTCTGGGAGTTGACGGCACTGAAGAAGTTGGGCTGCGGCGTGGGGTTGTTGCCCCTTCAGGAGTAGCAGTCCTTGAAGGCTCTTGACTCGGGATCGGTGTCATTTCTGTTCCCATATCTCTCATTGAGACTGATCTTATGGCAGCAGTGCCTGCATAAACCGAAAGCAAATGGTCAACTTCCTCTGCCTCTGGCTATACACATTGAAGTCTACGAACAAGGAAGCTAAAAGTAATGCAACCACAAGAAGTACAAATCCTACATAACATAACAAAGTACCACATGAAGTTCTTAAAGCCAATGAAAGCGTACCTGCAGCGTTTTCCACAGTACTTTTAGAACACATAGCATTCCCCTCGCAAGCTTGACCTGAACTGAAGTGAGACTCCGACGGGACAAAAGAGAACTTATCGAATCCAATCTGCGATGCAGGCTGACAGAAATCGACCCGCTTTGTGTCTGCTCCTCTGCCATTTGGCTTATAATCGTAGTTAGCAGACTCCGGAGCCACCCTCACCATACATGTCACCGGCAAACGAATTGTTTGGTTTTGTAAATTACTCTTTCTGGGAAAATTTGCTTGTACAATTTGCTTGTTCATTATCCGTTTCTCGGCATCGTTCCACTTCGATGGCATAGTTCTTGAAAGCGTTCTCGAGAGGTGCTTATGTACCGACTTCTCCCCTTTATGAAACTCGAAACTGGATGAACTAGCATTACTATCATAGTCAAGGTTTTCGTCATCCATCATTCTCACGGGGTGAATTGCGCATGAATTACCGCTCTCACCCTTTGAATAATGCTGCAATTTAACACGACCGCCATCGCCATTTTCTCGTGGCAACGACTCCTTTGGTTGACAAGAAGGTTGATCACTTTGTCCAAGGTCCAATGCCGCTGCACTCGACAAATTCATGGACACAACTTCCAAACTGGACGATTGAACTGGACAGCATAAGACTTAATCAGTAAACGGTTTAGCATTTGCGCAACGCATGGGAAATCCATTGGAGAACTAAGCTGGGATTAATCGATGCTCGTGTTACGAATTTTTGAATCAAAAGAGGAAAGACAAACCTTCCTCATCTCCATTCATGGGGTCTAACAAGCTATTCTTCACGAACTCGGAATCGGCAAGCTTCGAGGGCGAAGTTCTTGAGGAGTTACTGTTTGATCCATCCTTCGTTTTATGATGGTGAGGCCCTATAAGCTTCATCCTCAATTTACTGGGAGAAATTATACCAGTCTGAAAGAGGAAAGAAAAATGAGACAGTAAAGGTAATTACCCTTTCAGTCCACTACTTAAAAAATGCTAAAAGCTATCATCTTTGTGAACAAAACCAACTAATTAAACAAACCCAATTAATCAAATTACTAAAATCATATCCAAATTTGATTAAGCACATATATATTACAGCAGAAGCCAGTCCAAGGGTTTCTTTTTTTTTTTTTTTTTTTTTTTTTTGGAAATACAAGTTTCAACCAAATTCATGCAATTTGGAAACAACCCCTGAAAGTAAAATTCGTTCACAAAAAGTTCCACAACCAAAGAGAATAAAGCTCCATTCATCTCCAAAAGAACATAAAAAAGGAGAGTTAGAAAAAACAGACATGGGTTTTTGTTAAATTTACCTGAGCTTTGTGTATCCTCTCGTACTCCATTAGATCTCTCTCTCTCTAACTTTCTCTCTCTAAAAGAACCTTCTTTTCTCTCTACAATATCATTCTGAGGAACAACAACAAAGAAAGAAGAAACCTTTAAATGGGTAGAATCCTCTCTCTCCTCTCTCTCTCTCTCTCTCTCTCTCTGTATTTTTTTGGTAGGCAGACAGAGACAGGGGTGTTTTCAAAGTTCCTAGTTATAAACTTACAAGATAGGATGATTTTCGTTTAGTTCGGCTCCTCTGCAGCATAAGGCCGTGCTGTACTTCTTTCTGATCCTGACACGTCATTACTTGGACCCACATTCACCGGGACCATATGACGTGGCACAAATCTGCAGACCAGCCTCTTAAATTGTGGCTGGCGGGCTTCCTAACCAGAGGCAACGAGGAATTGCCGATTTTTAAGAGACCCAATTATTATTATTTTTTCTTTTATATTATATATATATTTGAATGTTCGAAATTTTTTTGAAAGTAGAATCCTTTGTGAATTTATGCCCATCTTATTTTTTAACATAATATTTTATAAGATTAACGTAAAAAATAACGTTGAACTGTTATGTATCAAAAAATTCATATAGAAATTTACTTCGAGACAGCCCTTTTTTTCGTTATTTCCCTTGTCTTTTAGCAAGAGGACAAAGTAAATTATGTAAATGGAACAAATGATTAAAGTCAGAGGGGTTTCGAACAGTGGCAATGATGAAAAGTGCGATTTCAGTTTGCTCTGCATAGAAACTGAACTGTGCATGTGGGTCAAAAATCAATCAATCAATCAAAAAAATTTACTATAAAAAGAATTTTACCCTTCTGCTTTAAGAAAATCACAGTGAAAAATAAAAATTACTGGCCAATCTAATCTAATCACCTAATTTGTGACCCCTAATCTTTGATTATCTTCAATCAAGCTTATCTTAATGGATGATCACCTTCGTATTTAGACTAATTGTCTGATTCAACATCTTCATGGCCCCCCACCACACTTTGAAAAGTTTCTTTTAGTCGCAATTCCACTATATGAAGTTTGAACAAATACTGGATTTCGCAAGATCACTTTTCCAAATTTTTACATTTCATTTCATCTCAAATTCAACCGTGTAGTTGGAGGGATGAATCCGGATTCTCGTCTGATCCTATTTGTGAGGATTCTGAAAATCCGTAAATCATATATGTTCATCGTATATTATACGATTAGAAATCATTTTAAATATTTGTATTTAAAATTAAATACAAACATTATATGACAAAAACTGACCTGCACGATGTATGAAGAATGAACATGATTTACGAATCCCTAAAATCCTCACAAAAAAAATCCAAAAAATATCTTGTTAGGAGGCATAATCCTGTTTATCTATATTTTTCATCACGTAGCTTGATCATAGATTGAACGAATAATCGAACAATTTCTGCATAATAAAACAAGAATAAGAAAAATGAGTGAACCATATAATGTATGATTGAATACACGTGAGAATAATCTCAGATTTATTTAGCACTAGTCTTAACTAATTATTGTCATTAACATTATGTTTGGGTGAAGAAATTTAAGATTACTAAGGAATTTAAAAATGACTGAAATTGAAATGACGAGATTTTATTTTCTAGAATTTGTAAATTTTCTTGTTTGGTTAACCTAAAAGAACAATGGAATTGAATACGAAATTTGTTATTTTTAAACTCTCAATCATAAAAATTGAGAAATGACATATATTTACATGGAATTTGAACTTGGGATTTGGAGGTTCCAAATTCCAAGTTTTTTTTCCATGCGGAAATTCTAAATTTCTATGTTTATGAATCCAAACAAGAGAATTGGTGCCTGTCAATTTATAAATTCTGACTTTTACCAAAATTCCATGGTTATTTTCCTCATCCAAACATAGTGTAAGAGTTTGGACAAAATATATTAATAATCACAATAGATATTAGGGTTTATATTTGAGAGGAGGATTCTCTCCCTTATTAATATTTCTTTTTTTTTCCCTAATTTCTTATTTAAATAATCACGGTTAAATTACGTTAATATCTTATATTAATTTTGAACCTTAATGGTGACAGCATGGTGTCTACATCCGTACAATTCATAATTGGATGGCCAGTCTTAGCTTCTTGTTCTACCTTCCTCAGATTATGCGTATATTTAGCAAAAGATTTTCTGCAGAAATGTAAGACTTTCTGCCACTGTTTTTTCAAACTTATATCCTAAATTATTATATGTCCTTTTTTAAATAAAAAAAAATTAGTATTTCATAAAAATTTTCTCCTTATTTTATAAGATTTTTGAAGAAAAACGAAGAGAGAATTTGTTTGGAATTAAATTTCCCATATTAGCGGCATAAAATAATGGATATTAAAAGAAATGTGTTTTTTAAGAAAGGACCGCGTTCGTCGGGTTAAATATTTAATGTGAGCGACTGTGAAGGTTAAACTCTCATTAAAAGATAATGATAGAAGGATTAAACTACTAATAGAAAATAAATATATTAATTAACACTTTGAATATTCAATTATCATCAATTACATCTTTTAGTCTACACAATTATATTAAATTTCTCTTAAAATGTATAATATTATTACTTTCGCCATCGCAATTAGCTAATAATAAGAAAATTAGGGTGAGGGGTGAGGTCAGCAGTCAAAGTGTCAAAAGATACTTTTGGTAAACACATGCACCAAGCAGGACTCATTATTATAATTTGGACGAGGAACGATGAACAGCCCCAGTTAGATCAGATGGGTCATTGCATTGGGGTTGTTTGTAGGGTTCAGAATTCTATAACCCTATCACAAACCCTATTCTTTTGTTGTTGTTTTCTATGTACCTAATGCCACTACAAACGGTTTGTTTTCATTTCTTTATAACAAATTTGAACTTCTTCAATTAAATTTTAGCAAAATTAACGGAAAATATTTGAAAACTTTGAGTTTGAGTTTTAACGAAAATGATAGAATAAAATATTAAATAAATAGTACAATGATTAATTTTTTAATGTAAAAATATGATTTTTTATTAAAATAAACAGTACTGAAAACTTTTCATTAAAGTTTCTTTAATTTTCAATCAAGAGCAATAGCGAACTACTTCGACTTCTGTTTCATAAGCGTAACATTTAAATCAATAACTCAATGATGCGTTGTTATTTGGAAATGTTGGAGCATTGTGTTATTGATATAAAGATAATATTAAAGAGATCAAAATTTTAAATTAAATTTATAAATCAAATGATGTGCCATCAATAAGAAATAAGCACGTTAATCGATACTTAATTAATAATTCAATCATCATTAACCACATTATTTTTTTTGTAAATTTCATTTAAAAAATCTAATTTCCCTAACATTACCCTCAATATAATATGTTATTCAAGAGGTCTAGATCCTTTCTAAATCCTTCCTCACTAAAGTATCTCTTAATATTTCGTTAAATGATATTAGCATTCATTTTTTGAAAAATATTTTGAGATTTTTAGTTCTAATTAAGAGTATTTATCCTTACATGTTAATGACCGCATGTTTAATTCTTTATTTTTTTTAACTTATAAGGCTCTACTTCCTGACACTATACGCTTCTTCTCTCTTCGTGCTCTAAAACAAGCTTACACTTGATATTTCATATATTTTTTCAATCTCTTATAATATGAATAAATATATAATGAGCGAAAAAAAAAAAGAATACGAAACATGTTGCGTGAAATTTTACTCCCTTAACACTTCTTACTTAACAAAAAAAAAAAAAATATAATAATAATAATTAGTTCTAAGTCCCATGAGGCAAAATAAGAGGGTCCTCCCTTACTTTATTTTATATTCATGGGTTCCGACACCTACGATTGTAACTCATCAAGAAAATATTTTGAAGCAAGAAACATTCTCCACGCAGAGTTTGTAATTGGCATTACTCTTCGCAATTTGCTCGATCCATGGATTGTGACTTGTAACCCTACTCACATGTTGTGTTTTCCTTGTCAACTGGTCCTCCATGGATGGAATATGAACACTTGGCACTTACAATATGTTTGAAAGATTAGAATAAAAGTGTTGCTTAATTAGTAGCCTACTTCTCTGACCACATTCTCCACATGCCAAGTCAACAGAAAATGAGTCGGCTCCCACCGTTTTTATCTTCTTTCTTCTGCTCATATATCAAACTACAAACCCAGATCATGTGTTTGATATTCTTAGTTGTGATTGTAAATTTCATAGGTTTTTAACTGAAAAGTTTGAGCTTTTTTCACTTTTTATATTTTGTATAAGCTTCAGTGGCGTTCTAGGATTTATACAGCAAACTTAATTTAATGAGATAAAATTTTATTGTTGTTTTCGTTATATTTTGTACCAACTAGCAACAATATTTGATGTTCATATTGGATGTGATTGTGCAGAATTACAATAATTATATATAGTTTAGTTCTAACTAGTTAGATACTTTTTTTTATTTTTTATTCAAGTGATATTCAATTCAAATTTAAAAAATTTGCATGCATTTCGCCATTTCTTACCGCTTCCTTTTCTATCTATCTCCTTGTATATCTTTGTACATGCAGAAACGAGCGTATATCATTTTGTTTGATCGGGCCTTGAGTATGTCTTTGACAGAGAGCTAGCTAGAGAGGAATATGAAGCGGGTGTAGCTAAGAAGGGTTAGGGAAAGGCTGAACCCTTCAAGCTAGCAAAGGATACTTGATTGCATCACTGCAATTTGTTATTCAATATTGTGGACAAGCCAACCGTCCATATTAAAACTCCGACGAGGGTCAGGCAAGACAACTTGCTATCACCCCCTCTTGTCGGCACCTTTTATCGTCCGACGGTGCTGTAATTTTTATGCTCGTGATTTTTTATCGTGGGGAATTTAATTCTGTTAACCATAATTAAGCACACAAAATGGTAAGCGTGTGGATGGTTATTAGGTCTTTCCCCTAATAACCTAAAGCTTTTTCTATGGACTCCTGTGTCGTGTGTGGGGGTTATTAGGTCTTTGGCCTGGTCTACAAGTTCTACAACAAAAAGTTGGAAAAAGAGTTTGAATTAGGTGGCTGAAGGAAACTGGGGTGTAATATAAAAATTGACTACCACTGCTAGTACTCGGGTCTTTTGCCTATATTTAGAATATGAAATAGGGAGTTTTAACGAAAAGCTTACTGTACTGTTCATTTTAACGAAAAATTATATTTTTACACTAAAAAGTCAATCATGGTACTATTCACTTTACTCTTTAATTTGTCCTTATCATTAAAACTCAAAGTTTTCAAGTCATTTTCATTAGTTTTCCTTATGAAATATGGATAATAGCTCAAAGTTAAAAGAGAAATGCTAATTAGACTCTCTTAAAAGTGAGACTAATCACGAATTATTTCACACTTCACAGTTTAAGGTTAATTATTGTGGCAACATTATAAAATATTATGTTTCAATATGGTAGTAGAGGTCAGAGAGTCTAAAAAGTTTCATTTTTTAAAATCTCCTTAGTTAGCATTTCTCTTTTTTAACTTTGGGCTAGAAAAATAAACCATATGAAAGGCAAAAGACCTGAGTAGTAGGTTTCCTTTAGTCACATAATTCAAACTTCTTTCCAACTTTTTGTTGTAGAACTTAAAAGACCAGGGCAAAGACCTAATAAGCACCTACACACATGACATGGGAGTCCATAGAAAATAAGGGCATCAATAGTTGCACATATTGCGGTATGAATGATTTAATAGTAAAAAGAACAAACTAGCGAGGGAGTGTGTTGGACCTGTTGTAGCAGAGAATACTATGTTTGTTTTGACCCTATTTGAATCAAAAGGCACAACGACCCTTTTGCTTTATTATATTTTGGTCCCTATGTAGTTGCCACTTTTTTCTCCACGTTGTAGGGGAATGTTTTGTTTTGATATGTAAAGCACTTTGTTTAGGGGACGGGCTTCTGGGTGCAACAATCCTTTTTTCTTTGGATGAGGTTTGATGCCTCGCACACAATTATCGACGAAGAGCTAATCTTGCTTAATATTTCTGTACAAAAAAAAAAAAGCACTTTGTTTGATTAATCTAATTCTAATTCGATCCCTTTTTTCTTGACACAAGGATAAGGTTGGTTTAACCTTAATTTATTTATAGTCATTGATAGTTTACAACTAATGAACCGTTTGAGACTACTTCTAAAAGTAGTAAAATAGCTTTCTGACAGCAGAAAGTGTTTATATCTACGTTTAAAAGTCTTAGAAGTGTTTTTGGCTAATAGAAGTGATTTTTGGTTGAAGAAGCACTTGCCAAATGCTTCCACCTTCAAGTATACTCTTTCATGAAACATTTAAATTTTTAATAGAAAAACTTAACGTGTTTATATTAAAAGTACTTCTAGTTGTGCTTACGAGCATAAGCATTTCAAAGCAATTATTATTTTGATCGTAAAGTTGGATGTGGTTCTCGTTGAAGATGGAAAAGAAAAAAGGTACTTTTCTTTTCTAAGTTTATAACCATGCACTGGGGGCCTTTGCAGTTCATTGCACGCATTAGCTTCTTGAAGATGGATAGAGAAAGCAAGGGATATGATACCTAATAAAGGTGATTTTCCTTGGAAAGTTTGACAAGTTGTTAGTTTGATCATGATTTCTTCAAGAGATTTGCCAGTAGGGTCCTAAACTGATTGAAAAGTCACGAACTAGCTTGGCAGTTTTGACTATCCCAGCTAAGAGCATCAAATGCAGATTTAACACAATGTAATATGCATACCAGAACCAAACCAGACTTGTTACTACCTTTAAATTGGCAGGCCAGGCCTTTTAATTGGGTCCCTAATTAAACAGTTTTCACATAGATGTCAAATGACTCTTCAAATATGTGAAAATTGTACTACGCTTGTAGTATGATCGATGACATGTAATTACATGTAAGAAGCTGAATATTTTTCTTTATTACATTGGAATGAATCAAACGCTATACTTACCATAATCCTAACTCATTGTCCCCACCTTTTCCTCACCACTTGACCTAACCTAAGAGCGAGAGCATTAAGAAGCCAAATATTGTTCTTCCAGATAGCATAGCTGTGTTAATAAGCTCGTGCTTGTGAAAATTAGTTATGGTATCCATCTTCAATATATGTATTGCATGCCTTGCAAGTGAAAGAGAAAAGGGTTCGTAACAATCGTGTGTATATATTATTTATATATAAATATGTAGATTTACAAAAAAAAAAAAGGATATGATCGACGGCCAGATAATACACTCACGATATATTAATTCAGTTCAGTCGTAATTAAATTATGGAAGTACTTTGCATGAGCTGCCCTTCTTCTTTGCTTTCGCCTCCAGCTTGTTCTAACATCTGATGACGAGGATATAAGACCTGCAAGTCGATATCACTGTCGCCGCTGACATAGACTACTCGAAAAATGTCGTACTTAATCTCAATCGAGACGCTTTCGAGATAGGGCGACAATGCTTTTCTTTGGTCGGAATTTAGAATCCATGAGTAGCAATATTGCAGAGACTTCCACACGAAGAGAGAAGCAGTTCTTTGCCCCGTTTGGCATTTCAAACAAACACCGGCTGTCGCGCCTTGCATCCTTTGAAAACCGGACTTGAACAACGCTAAGCATGCGTAAGAGATGTTGTTTATGTCACCACCGTTGATGAGGGCAGTGCTTAGTGATACCGTGTCACCTCTTCGAAATTTCGCTGCAGAAGAACCGTCTCTCGATTCTCCAGCATACGCGTCGAAGAATGAGTGATCGACTAAGATAGCCATGTTTGATATATTCGCTAACATTGAGAGCTGCATGGGAACATTAAACCTCCAATAAAGGGTTCTGCAATTGGATCTGTAAATTTGTTTTATTTTTTTTTTTGTATTTGATAAAGCATGGGTAGTTTTAACCTCAGGTTCAGTACTTGACACATCATTTATATACAAAGGTGACCACATGCTAATAAGACTCCGTGCTTTGTCAGGATTACGGATTGTAAGCAATTTTATCCTTACTTTGCAAAAAGATTGTTTCTACGACTCGACCCCTTAACTTTTCAGTCACAAAGAACAGTCTTTGCGAGCTAAGAAAGTACATATCAATTATTGTAATCTTTGTTTCGAAAAATATGGAGGTTTAGAAAGTTTAGTTCAAGGGAAGGAGCTTAATTTCTGGAGGAGGCTTGTGCCATATAGTGGAAATCAAGCACCGTTGTGGCCCTCCTCATCCGGATTCAAGACTCCCCCACCCCCTCAAAACCTCCTAGCTATTGACAAAAAAAGAGAGCTTAATTTCTGTTTCGATGAGATAAGGAATAAAATGAAAATAAAAAGAAAGGAAAGGAGAGAATATATAGGAGCAAGAAGTGAATAATTAACAGGAATTAGACTTACAAGCCTTGCTGTCAATGAATCTTGTTTTCACATGATCTCTTCAGCCACGCTCCAAACCATATGAACTGATGATCAAGAAGAAAGAACAACCCGATTAATTAAGATCGAATTATCGCTATAAATATAAGCAAGTATTTTATATTTAAAATATATACGTACCATATTTCCATGGATGCTCTGCAAGATGGAACTTTGAACACAACCAAGAGACTCGGTGCACAAAGAGAATTGCTTGAGAGCATTAAGAAGGTCATCGACCAACACAATTGTTGGTTTGAACACAAGGATGCTTATGTCTAAATTTTTACTGTTGAAAGGCACAAAGCATGCCATTTCTAATCTCCTCTTTTTTTTTTTTTCTCTGTAAGCTTATTTTCTGTTTGGTTTGCGAGAAAAACGAAAAGCAGAAAGCTAAGAGGCGACTAGAAAGTAGAAAGCTCGCCGAGAAAGTGTGAGAAAATGTGATGTTAATAAATATGGAGGTGGTTGGAAAGCTTGGAAGAGATATGAAACTTGATCAACGGGGCATCGCAGTCTCTGTTTGGTCTTCTTTGGCTTGTTTTGAAACGGAGATGAGGATGGCTATCAGTAAATAATAACAATAAAATAAAAATAAAAAATAAAAAAAGACTTGGAATTTGGAATTTGGAAGTATATAGCAAACATGCAGTTGTTGGTCTTGTGCATGCTTTGACTATTTCTAGATGATTGTACAAATTAAAATTTTGTGCTCCAAATCTAACATACAAAATAAGATAAAAGATTTGTCACATATTTATATATATATATATATAATAAATCCTTTTTGTAATTAAATGTAGTTCGATCACCACCGTTAATAAAAAGACATGCGTAAGATCTTGTTTATATTAATAATATTATTGAGAAAATAATTGGTAATTTGGTATTGGTGGGTCAACAAATTCCAGGATCTTGTTGTTGGAAGAACTAGTGAGCTTATGTTCTTTCAACAAACTTTATATACTACTGATGCCGTGTTCCTTGACCCAATTCAAGCACAAGTGGCACGTTTTGATTGGGCTAACAAAATGCGTCGTTGCAGGATATTTTAGTGTCCAATCAATTGTTAAATTTTTTTTTTTAGGTATCCATACAATTGTACCACTTATTATTATAATATAGTGCTATTATTCTTTATTTAGAAGGGAAATATTTTAGTTTCGATTCATTATTACTAGTTTATTATAAGATTTAATTCAAAACCCACCAGTATAACGTAAATGATATCATTTATTTAAAAAAATATCAACATATTTATTTTATGATACTTATTGTTACATGTTTTCGGGATATTGAAAAATCGTAAGGCTGTCATAACTTCCGGTAGTCCTTCCATTCCTCCTCCTCCCCCCGTCATCAATGAAAATTTGATTGGTTCGAGAAGTTTGGCAGTCAATGGGTTTGACTGGTCAACTAGAAGATTTAATTTGAAATGATCAAAGATTCAAAACCACCATCAATACTTCGTAGTAAATTAAGAAGAAAAAGGAGATGTCAATTGCCTGCCAAGGACAATTCTCTACGGTCCAGATTCCTGAAAGCCCTTGCTTCCGGTACTACTACTCCTGCTTTGAGAAAAATCAAACAAGTTTTAACGAAAAACTATCGGTATTGTTTATTTTTATAAAAATTTACAATTTTATATTAAAAAGTCAATCTTGATACTATTTATTTTACTCTTTATTTTGTCTTTATCGTTAAAACATAAAGTTTTCAAACCTTTTTTATTTGTTTTTTAAAAAACCAATGGGAAAATGAATCATCTCTGGATCTTTTCCACCAAATCCTACCAATCAACAAATCCAGACTTTTGAAATTTGATCCAACTGTTAAAAATAGGAGGCCTTTTACAAGTGATAATAATTTTAGCAGTTGGATCAAATTTTAAGGGCCCAAATTTGTTGATTGGTAGGATTTAGTGGAAGGGATCCAGAGAGGATCCCTTTCCAACTAATGACATTGAAAATAAATCATTTGGCTCGAGTTTCAAAACCTAAACCAAACGAGAAGACTTTCATACAATGAATCTCACGTCAATTACACGTTGTCATGCGAGAAAGTTAAAACGCATAATAATGCGGAAGTGACTTGAATTATTACATGCTAGCACCCAGTAGTAGCTAGGTTTGTTATTCAATTATATAAGATATGCTCTAACATCACACTGTTTTAACGTAAAAATACAAATTTGGTGAGCGTAAATTTTCCATCTTCCGTCGAAGTAAAGTGTCCTAAAATCCTTGTAAGATTGTTTTACCTCTTCAGAGACACCGGTTGATACAATCAACAAATATGGACTTCAAGAATATCACATGCATCTGCTTTCCTCCCATCAACATGGGGATGAAAACTGTGTATGGTGTATTCATTTTAACACACAACAACATTAACCTGCACCTAAAACATAACAAAGAATGAGCGTTTTTGTGTATCTTCCAATTCTATTAATCCATTAGTTCCAAAGATTTTAACGTTGTTCAGTTCGAATCCCACTATCCTGTGTTCTCTCATTTCAACTCACTTGTAGACTCGAAGATTCACAAATTCACAAATTCCCCGACTAAACAAAATAGTTAAAAGATTGCGCTTGCACCTTATCATAGGTCTATGGACACTCTCAAACCATCATGCGCAAGCTGCACTTGAATCCCTTCCCTATTTGAAAACAACAGAAAAGTTGAAAGCATAAGTTTCTTTAAGTAACGATATTTCTAACCTGTACAGAAAGTGAATTACAAAAGTAGTACCATAGCTCAATTTAGTCTTAACTCTAAGGCTAGAAGATTAATGCCACAGAACCCTGGGACTGTTATCCAATTTAATAAAGGAATTCGATCAAAATTCTTACCTCTCAGACCATTCCATAAGAAACTTATTGTCTACGTGGTGATCAAACTGATGAGTCATTCCAATAAAAGGGTTTTTTTTGGACAAATCCTCTTCACAGCTTCAAGAGTCTGCAAAACATTATAGTTCGTTGCCATGAACATTTGGCTATAAGAAATGCACATATTTTTTTGTGTATAAAACCAACCTGTGGGAGGCAAAGGTGAACATTATGGGATCTGGTCTGCGATGAAACAAAAGGAAAAGCAGATTATAAAGAATATGCCTTAATAATAACAGGAAACACAAGATGAGCGAACAGACTTTCTGCTGACCCTGTATAGTGTGTCCAAGATAAGAAGATCCAACTGTCCAGCTCCATCTTTTGAAATAACTGCAATATTCAAACGTATGGTTTTTTCAAATAAAAATAAGAGACGCAGAGAATGCTTTATAAATGACATGGAAGATCAAGAATTACAAACTTACAAGTGACAAAAACAACGATGAAACCAGTAAGGTGGCATGTTCAAAAGATGAGATGTCTTGAGAAGGCGTTTTATGCCAAGAACTGATTTTTCCTACTACAGGATAAGAAAGTTTCTACACAATGCTTCTCCATAAGGAACAATCTCCAAACAGATTCACCTAAAAAATAAAATTTCTTATAAAAGGTGACAGACGGTCATCCTTCCCACTGCATAAGTTTCCAATTTCATTGACAAAGTATAATCTAAATGGAAATGATAAAATGTCAGAGAGTATAATCTCCTCTGCAAAGGGTCTTCCCAGTGCTTTGGTGGTGAATTCAAGAGTGCAACGGTGAAAACCAACTCAGCTAATAGGAAGGTGTTCTAAGAAGGCAATCTAAAAAATCTCATCATCAAATAATCTAACAAAGCTAATCACAATTGAGCCCCATCATTTGGGAAATTATTTCTACCTATAAAATTCCTAACTAAGTAAACAGAAATAACACTCTAAGATGTTCACAAAATGCACTGAAAGTACAGGAAATATCCATAAAGTACAAGGACCTAGGCTCACCATGTTCTGTGCTTGCAGGAAAGCGTGAAACATCAGATATATAAGCTATTCTACATCTTCCCCATGCATTACCTACATATGAGGAATAGCAGTAAGAAACTCGGAAGAATTACAAGGAATAGGATATTCGTATCATGACTTACAGACTAAGAAAGGTTTGATGAGCGTAACTGGCAAAGGAACAAATTGTAGGCCTGACGCAAGAAACGGTGTTTCAATACTCTCCTCAATTATCCTCCAGTCAAGATGTGCTACCCGTCTCACTTCTTGTCCTTCAGCAAGTTTTTTCTTAACCAAGTAAGGAAATTTCACTGCAATGCTATTCAAAGGTACAGCAGGCACGACAAGTTGCGTTATACATAAACTGAAAGACACAAAAAATCAGATATAATGCCTAGAGTAATTTCATTTAACTATTTCCTCACCAATGACATCCACAGTTACATTTTTACTTATGCAAATCCTAGGTTTTAAGTCTATAATGTAAGCAGACTAAGGATTTATTTCTATCAAATGAGATGGAGCAACAATATACAAAGAGCACGTCAGAATCATACGGTCACAAGTATTGCACTAATTGCAACAGTATCCAGATCACGCAAAAAAGCAAACACACTTTGCTTTTGGACCAAACGATTTAACAATTAACAGAACAGTATCCAACTTCAACCCAAAATATAGTACCTCTCCATGGCATAATGACTTAGGTAGATGGGAGTAGGATCAATGTCATTTGTGGGACTAAATGGTTGAACGGCACGTATATCATCCAGACCAAGAACTGCATCAGCATGTTCATGAGTCAAAATAATCTGCAGTTGACGAAGAATAGCTCTGCAGGCGACGTATTGCACCTGCAACACACAAATCACTCAAATGCTGATTTTCCACCCACTTTCCTTCACTTTCTCGGGAAACAAACAAGCAGATAATGGAAGATCTAAGGCTCAATTTTACCGGTTATTAGGGTTTTAGTCCGGGGGGATGGAGAGCGCCTGAGCGCAGACGTTGCAAGGATCGGAGGGCAGGATCAGGCACATTGCGTTGGGGACGGCGCTCGAGCACCCGGTGCCGAGGAAGACCAGCCCCGATCGACCGCCGTGGTGGTTCTCGGCCGCCATTGGGGTCTCCTAAGGGTTTCAGTCTTTGTGAGGTTGAGAGAGAGAGAGAGAGAGAGAGGGAGGGAGGGAGGGAGGGAGGGAGGGAGGGAGGGAGGGAGGGAGAGCGAGAGACGTAGTGTAGAAGAGAATGAAGAACAGAATGGAAATATTTGGAGACGACAAGGCCCGGGAAATGTTGGCGGTTTTGTCGGTTGGGCATTTGTCTACGTGGCCGGAATCTATTGGTTCCTAGGTTGTTAGAAAAATATGACTGGAATAATTAATTTCTCAGTAGTAAGGTTTAGTGTTATCTCTACTAATTAATAAAACACTCATTGTTAATCAAAATCCTATAAAATTATCAGTTTAACCATCTAATTAAAACAGAACATGAATATGATATATGGGGCATAAATGTAATTTCACACAACCAAATTTTACTATTTTTTTTTTCAAAACCTCACTTACTTGTAATCTTAACATATCTTAAATAAATAAATAAATAAACTTTCCACCCCCACATTCTCTGTCACTTTCTTCCTCTCTCCTTGTATTTCAAAAACAAAAATAAAAAAAGTTCTCATACTTTGTGTATGCCCAAATGCTAGTTTAATTTAATTTTTTGCCAAAACATAAGGTATTCGGCGCTCTGAAGGGTAAGACTAATTCTCATCTAGCCACAGTCAAATGACCCGGCTC